AATTGTATTTTGTGCATCAGTTGCAGTGAACTAATAATGCAAAATCGAAACGAGCCATATTAACTGCGCCCTTAAGTCAGGTCATTTAAGTTAAAAGTTGCATCCCAAATGAATTTATGATTTTTATAAGGTTATTTTGTCATTAAACAAAGTCTGATAGACCCTCCCCTTTCCAGTTTATCAGTTAATTTAGTGCATCATCCAGTATTTAAAGTGCACTCGTTCTTTTGGGATTTTTTAGTTTAAACGCAGTATTCACATGATGTACAGTGCTTAGCATAAGTGAATACACCCACGCTAAAGTTGACTAAAAGTGGAATAAAAAAAAAATCTTTTGGAAATATACATTTCATGGATCCAGGAAACTATGCATCCTGATAAAGTTCCCTTAGCCTTTGGAATAAAAATAGCCCCACATCATCCCATACCCTTCACCATACCTAGAGATTGGCATGGGGTACTTTCCATAAGCTCATCTCTCAATGCAAATCAAACCAGCTATTAGGCTAACAGAAATAAAACCATGCCAATCTCTAGGTGCGTGATGATGTGGGATTATTTTAATTCCAATGGCCAAGGGAATGTTATCAGGATGCATAGTTTCCTGGATCCATGAAATAACTGGCCTTTAAAAATAAAAATCTGCCTGTATTTTAAGGAAGAACATTTATTCATGATACATTATTCATTAACAAAGAAAATCCTTAAAGTAAAACTTTTTCCTCATTTTTTTACCTTTATTTAATTACAATTTTGTTTTTACTGTACAAAATATGCTACAATAGTTTACAAATACAGGGTAATAAAATAAACATAATTAAGATATATGCTACAGCTTTTAGATTAAATGCATTTTATTTTAAAGATGACCTCACTGAGCAAAAGAAGGGATTAACCGATTTTTTAACAAAACAGCATGCATACTACACATGCATTCTACCTGTGTGTGCCAAACCTTACTGTTTTGACACCAGCAGTCCTAGAGGAGTTCAAGTGTAGTGTAAAAGAAGGGCCTAGAGCTTTGACAGAGTTTTGCATACCAATTAACAGAGTAATGAATAGACTATAGAATATTAGAGTTCTTTGGTTAAAGGGTTATTAAAATTGCACTTGCCTATATAATGTTCCCAGGACCACGTGGACAGAATCAAAACACATACGCAATACGTGCAACCTTACCAATCCATATGCACAGAAATATAACAGTATACAAGTATAAAACACTACTCGAATCCAGATCAAAGTAAGTTATGGTACCACGACACGTGTGCTTTGCACGTCTGTTAGCCAGCAACCTAAAAGTTACTTAAAAACAATTTGCTCTTTACATTGCTGATCTTCATCCAACGACTTAAATGCATTAGTATAAGTTTATTCAGCCTAAGAAATGGATGCATTGCTACTTACCCCCAGAATTGACAAATACGTGTCTGTTTTTCAGTGTCCAGCTCTCTGTGTACGCTGGATCTGCGTCCATGAGGTGATATCTGTTTACCCTTCTCAAGTGTGTTTGTCAGAGCTGTTTGGCCCCTCCCCCAGTCGCCTGCTATTGGTTACTCAGTAGACGCGACGCAGTGAGAGCAGAGAGAGCAGTGGTTGGAAACTTCATCTGCGATTTTATTGGTTCTTTTCTTCTTCAGTCAACGAAGGACAAACATTTTATATTAAACTCAGAAAATTACAAAGAACGTTTTAAAAATGTAACCGCAATACTATGCAATGCTAAATTAGTGCGCGATGTGCTTCGTCATGTTTTAGGAATATGATTAATTAGTCTGTTTTATTATTTATCCAGCAGTTGCTTCACTCACACGGATTCCTACTGTAGTTTTTGACAAAAACTATCTCTATCTTTTACTGTCCTCTAGTGGTTCAAAAGTCCCAGCTACAGCAGCGCGATGACAGGTGTGAAAGCGAGGCTGTGAGGGATTAGATTAGATAGTTCTCTTGCCGTGTTTTCGGGTTTTCAGTGGCGGCCGCTGTAAAAATAAATAAATAAACAAAACAATAAAAAATAAATTAAAATAAACACTCTGTAAAGGTCCCTGGTTATAGTACTTATAATCAACCACAGCTCTGTCTGGAGTTTTTTGTCTACTGAATCTTCTTACAAAAAGGTAGGCTAATTAAATAAGTTATAACAACCCACTGAAGAGTCTATCCGTCACGGCCTCGCTTTCATTCTGTTAAAAATCAAATATGGTTGTTGTATTTGTAACATGTTATTTTTTGTTAATAAAACTAAAATAAAACTAAATTTGGAGCTGATGTGAATAAGTTATTTCGGCCCAAAAACGGCGATTGTCCACAAAACTATTCACAGTAACTAAATAGCATGTTCTTGCACAGAACAAAAACATAATATTCGTAATAATTTAATATAAAATATAATTAAACACATATATTTATGATAAAACACACACACACAATCATATACTATATATATATATATATATATATATATATATATATATATATATATATATATATATATGTTAAGATAGGCTATATAAAATAATTAAACACATATTTATACTTTATTTATTTATATTTATTTATCCAATTTATACTGCCTGACAGAGGACTAACCCATTCTGCAATGCAGGGTATTTGTGAGTACATTTTAAAATGGTGTATCTCTTAAGAATAGCTAATTATATTATATTATATTTATTATATTATATTTTATTACATTGTATTATATTATATTTTATTTTCAGTGAAAATATTGGTGCATTTCCTGTTTTGTACCACTAGGTGGAATACGTGTCTTATATATTGTGATTCTGTGATTTGAGAGTAGTGACCTAATTATTTGATGTAAATCATGAATTTTTAATTGTTTGTTTCCTTATTTAATTGAACGACAATTTGATCTATAAACAATAGCATGTTAATTTTATCCCTAGTTTAGTCTACTGTTGTTGCTTATGTGGCTGTTTGGCCTGCACATTGAAGAGGTCTTGCTTTATTGGATAAAGCTGGACTTTAGGCTATAGTTAATCAAACATGCTGTAGCCTACATAATGTTGACATACAGTAAGCTGTAACTTGACACATTTAGTAAGAATACAATAAATTATGAAAAACAGATAAACAGAGAAATAGAATAAGTGTTTGCATTGGTGCACCATATTCATAATAATAATGTGAAGCTTTATTTCTTAACTTCTGCTTCTGCAAGGTTGAATCATCAACCAATGCAATAGGCTACTCAAAGATTCTCAAGCAATTTTAACAAACACGTTTTAATGCAAGAACATCATTGTGCAACTTCTCAACTTTGTCTTAAAGGTTATTTAGTTCCATGTGGCTGATTTCTTCCTAACTCATTTGAAATGCACATATATGAGCTCTACGATTGCACGGACATGACTTTATAGTCGCTGCAGTTGATAGGGAAATGTTGGTGGAAATGAATGATGTTGGCTGGAGGGCCCACATACAGTATCCTGAAACTTCGAAAGATCTCAGAGACAGCTCTATACTTTGAAGAAAGGAATGTTTTTGCTGAACATGGTCATGCACCCCCTCTCCAACATAGAGGATGGAAAATTAATTTTCATACCACCTATCAGCAAAGCCGTCTCATTCAAATCAGAGTGGCCACTGAAGCATTATATTTTCCATCCATTTTACTTGTGCATATGACACACTTTCCTTTGTTTTGTGGGACTGGTCATCAGTGCATAAGAAATAAAATCAGAATAATTTTGTCATACTGTACATTGGGAGCAGTGACATGATTTGTTGTGGTGGGTGAACTATATAATAGCAGGTGAGCCTGGTTGATGAACTTCACACCTTACTTTTTGACCTTTGACAGAGTCTAGGCCTGTTTTTATGCTTTTCATAACCATACATCTGAGAAGAACTGAGCTACTAAGACCCCTTTTCTACTTGTTGTTGGTAAGTCATTCAAACTAGTTTGTCAAAAGAATTAATGAGTAACACTTAATAACAATATTCTTTAATAGTATTACCACATATAACTACAATATAATGTTTAACAGCAATTATGCAAATATATCCTGGACGGAATATGGCTAAATCTAATAAATTAACAAACAAATGCTGCAAAGACCATAACGGTCAACTGCAATTCTGAATATTTGGTTGTTGTGCGATTTTTAGTTTTAGTAGAAAGTTATAAAGTTATACAGTTATACATAAAGTTGTAATTTATTCATTTAAAAATGCAATTGAATAAGTGTATATACATACACACTTATGACTGAATGTAGTAGCCTAATAATATAGTATATACTACTTTATAGTATATACTAGTATAGTTATACTACTATAACTACTATATAGGCTATGATGTTTATTTAATAGGCTACTATATGATGTTTATTTACTATAGGCTATATGATGTTTATTTTACTACTACTATATAGGTTACTATGTGATATTTTTATTTAACTACTATATAGGCTATTATATGATGTTTATTTAATAGGCTACTATGATGTTTATTTACTATATATAGGCTACTGATGTTTATTTAACTACTATATATAGGCTACTATATAATGTTTATTTAACTACAATATAGGCTACTATCGTTTATTTAACTACTATGTATGATGTTTATTTAATAGGCTACAATATGATGTTTATTTACTATATATAGGCTAATGTTTTTTTAACTACTATATATAGGCTACTATATGATGTTTAACTACTAGCCTATATATAGGCTACTATATGATGTTTATTTAACTACTATATATAGGCTACTATGATGTTTATTTAACTACTGAAGCTTAAGCCTCAAGTCAAGAGACAATCAGTCAAGTGGTTCCAAACTATTGACGGACATATTTGTAAAATACGTGTAAATAAAGCAAGAAACCATCCAAACACACAAACACCAACATGTTCAGCAGCCTAATAAATAAAGCAATACATCAACTAGAGTCTTTTAGACATCAAGTCTTGTTCTCCTTCCCCTTGCGCTGAATGTGTGAAACAGTGAAAGAGCTCGCGGAGGCTCTGCCTGTTCCGTTGAATTCAGACTCACTGTCATTTTAACTTCCTTCCTGCCTTTTGTACATTAAACAAACATACGGCTCTGACGCGAGGTGTCGAACAGCTCGTGAGATACACAGTCACACAGATACATTGATTTAAATTGGTTAAAGAACTCCTGGAATGTAGCAGCAGTGGAGCAGCTCAAGTTATTATTCTGCTTCGTGTCCCGAATTCGCGAGTACGCGCTTCTCGGACAATTTAAACAACAGCGTCTGCAACGAGGAGACTTGTAGGTAAGCAGCATCCGACTTTGGTGTGGCATTCTGTAAGTTCACTTTTTTGTTTTGTTTTGTTAGACACGTCTACATGAAGAAGGAGACTTAAGCATCCAGACTCGACTATCTGACTTCACGAAGTGTAGAGATAACAGCAGAGATCTGTTTAGTTCAGTTTAATAAAGCAGGTTTAAGCATTTTCAATTCGGAGTTCGATAAGGGGTTGCTGAGAAAGCACCGCTGTTCTGAAAACATTTACTCTGTATTATAGTAAATATTGGTCCGAACTGTCCAGAATACACTCAATTAATGTAAGGCGTGAATACATAGTAATGTTTTCTTTGCAATACATGTGATTATTTGAGAGTTCACTAAACATTAATGTTCCTATTATTCATTCGCGTTTTATAAATTAGTTAATAATCCCAATGTCCCATTGGAATTAAAATGTTCTTGGAATAAGAATGTGGCAAATGCTTCTTCAACTGAGTTGTTAAGATTCACCACGTGTTTTCCAGCTCATTCAAATTCAGTGAATGCCAAAGAGTAGGCAGTTCAGTGAACGGCTTTTGTTGAGTAGTTTTCTTTGAGTCATTTTAGTTCATATTAGCACTCTGCAGCTTTATGATCCCCTGTGATAATTTTAGACATCACTCTCTTGCTTCGAAACACACTATGGTAGTGTTTCACCAGTGACGTGGGATGCCTCAAGATGCATTTGAAATGTCAGAGCATAATGGAGCGATAAAATCACTTAAAGGGGTGGTGGTGGTCGGGTTCAGAGAGAGGAGGTGCATTCCAACCTTGACCTCTCCCCTTGAGTTAAAATCCAGAGCCCAACTTCTTAGTCAAAGCATGTGATGTTAATCTTGACTATGAGAAAGACATCACTATTCAGTCGAACAACCAATTTCATGTGGATGTTTTCATTCGCATATAGTTGTTGGAAGTTGAGGATCTTGACATAGTGTTTAAATTATATTTGCAACCAACCTGTATATTTTGCTTCTTTCTGCGGTGTGTTGATCTTCGGATCATTTGTCTCAACTGCTTTTTGATTAGTTCCACTTGGAAAACTTGCTGAAAACTGTTCTGGTTCATTATGAAATAATTTGCCTCAGCCAATGAGATAATTATATTTCAGTGCAATTAAACAAATCTTTTTTACCATGTCATAGCTTTTGCTATAAATGGAAGCAGCTAATTGATACCACACAGACTGTTTTTTCTTAAGATCCTTAGATGTTTAACATCAACGGGGTTGAGGCCTCACAAGGTAGGCTACTAAACATGGGTACATTTTTGGTATTTCATAATGAATGTGCAGTGCACGATTACCTTTTCATTATAAATTGTCAAGACAAACTAAATATGATATGAGGGTTACGGTATGTGGAATATTGTTTTTACATTAAGTTGTACTGCATTACAGCCTCAGTCGTTCTTTTTTTCCAGTGAAGACATAAAAGGTTATGTTGACCGTCTCTTTTAGTAGCAAGTGTTTCCAGTATTTGATCTGCTCTGTTTATATTTCTACAAATGGAAAGAAGTATTTTGGCCAACACATCTACAACTGTGGGTGCATATTCATAATATGACTCCCTAACTGAATAAGCAGTGTGATTTAGTAAAGATTACTCAGATAAATAAATAAAAGAGTATTAGACAGAAAGACGAGCAAAAGTTTTCAGTATGCCAAGGTCTCACCACAGTGGCCAACGGAAACATCTTGATAGCAATCAAAACCAACACAATTCTAAAACTCTAACAACATTCACATGAGACATTTTTATCTGTATTTCAGCAGAAGTGTTTCATGCTAACGAATATGAAGAGAGTGACCACAATAATCAGCCCAAGGCACTTTTGCATTTATGAAATGCTCGCATAATTATGTAATTTATTCAGGCAGCCCTGCTTGTTAAATCAACCATTACATTCAGTGTTTTTGCACAATGGTACACGAACCATTAACACTTGATGTTTGCTATTTACACATCTTTTGTGCTTCTTTTCAGCCCCCTGCTAATGATGAACCAGAAGTGGACATAATATATGAATGAGGAAAGGAGTCAGGGATTGTATTTTATTCTACGTGTCAGCTTTCCTTTGGTCCCTCCTAACAATGGTTGGCTCCAAAGGCCAGTGGACCTTGGATGAATAGACCTAAATGGGTGCAAAAACGGACAGAGTCAGCCTGCCACTATGGCAGCTTATGCTCTGAACAGCCTGATAATGATGAACCCCAACAACCTGACCAATAAAAGCAGCCCTCGAACAGGAAGGCCTGTCCTCCCAGTGCCCAGTCGTTCTACATTTAGCCCGGTACTGGGGGGCAGCGGAGGTCCCTATAGCCCAGGAAGCCTGAGCCCTGGGTCTGCAGGCAAATCATTTGTCTTCCCAACAGGTACCGGTTCCAGTTGTCGAAGGGCACTTTCACCATGCCGACGGCCAGAATCACTGGGCGTGCATGTAGGAAATCGTGTGCGCAGACTCAGTGGGTCCGGCCTAGAGGAAGAGCAGGAGAACGAAGAGCGCCGTGCCGCTCAGCAAATTGAGCGCGGCAAGGAACTGCAGAATGTGGAGGTGAACAAGAAGGTGGATCTGTTTGAGGCCCAAATATCTGCTCAGACTCACAGCAGAGAGGCTCAACGAAGCCCACGAATTTCCAGGAAAACTCCCCCGAACTTAGTCCCTGTCCCACTCGCCAACTTCAGCTTGAATCCAGAGGAAACACTTGCAACACAGAACAAGGATCACTCAACAGGGATCCCCAAAGAACTGCAAAATGGAAAGCGCTTCTCCTGCATGGAGGAGGGGCTGCAGGTCAGCAGTGAGGAGAAGGACAGGGCTGACCCAAATACAGAAGAGGGCGGCCCACTTGAGAGCACATCAGCAGGAATTAAGAGCGAAGCTGACAGCCCTACCGACAATCACTCCAGGACTTCACCAGAGGCCAACGAGTGCTCAGCATCTTGGACCGAGACATGTTTGACAAAGCCGGGAGCTGAGCCAGCAGAAACTCAGGCAGAGTCTGACTGGGTCAGTCCGGAGCTGGGCTCCATCCCTGCTGTCATTATTACGGACCACGGCATGGAGGGCACTGAGCCTCAGGTTAGTCCTCAAACTAACAGAGTCGTGAGAAAGCTTTCCTCTTCCTCTGCCTCCTCAACGGGATTCTCCTCGTCCTGGGAGGAATCAGAGGACGACATTTCCAGTGACACGGAGCGGTCCCCAGCTTTCCTGCAGACACAACAGAAAGCGGTAAGGCAACCTATGATGTCCTTTTTTATTTCATATGTTGGCTCTAGTAGACAGAAGAGTGGATAATTGACAGGAAAGTACACTGTCAAAAAATGTGAACCTTGAGGGGGTCAACAAACCAAGTACCCTTAAAGAGAAAACTTTGTATCTTTCTACCCCTAAAAGGTCTTTAGGGGTAAATAAGGTATAGAGTAACCTCCCTTGGGGCACAAGGGCACTTTCCTGGTGACAGGCTGTCGTACCACTAAAGGTAGTTTTTGCACATTTTATTCTGGAAGTGTACAGGAAGTCAGAGAGGACCGGGACCTGAACCTTGTTCCACATGATCACAACAGCCTTTTATATTGAGCAACACACTAACACAGTAATAATACAAGCACTCTGATCCTGTAAGACAGTGGTTTGGGACAGCAAATATAGCTTACATTTATGCATTTAACAGACACTGTAATCCAACGCGACTTACATTGCATTTTATCAGTTCAGACATTCCCTGGGAATCGGACCCATGACTTTGGTGTTGCTTGTGCCATGCGTTTCTGTTTGAGCTACAAGAATGCTTATGAAATTATGCTTCATAAGCTCACGTGTATGAAATTATTGCTAAGGTCAGATTCCAACACAATTGGTTTTAAAATGTCTGCAGTTTATGTGATTGGCAGAAATTATTTCAGGGGTATAGATGTTACCTTGAGGGGAGATACATACTGGCCAGTCTTGTGTATTCTCAACTTCCTCCAGTGCATTTACACTGTCCTTGCGCTTTCCTGCTCAGTGCTCGTCTGTATTCACCCAGAGTAACTGTTGACATTCTCACATACAAAGGTACTTCTGTGTCCTGCTGTCAGATGGACTTTTTTCTCTGACTTTAGTTGGCCGCCCTTTAAACGAAATACAAAACAGAGTGAGGAACAAACAGTGGTGTTCATGTGATTTGTGGTTACATTGGAATAAATACTTTACCAGTACGTTAACAATTTTGATTAGCTTTTCAAACAAAACGCTCATAAGTAATTGAAACATGTAGACCTGATAATCAGCTGCATTAGCAGCTATAAAAAAACTCATTAGCTTATACAATCATGTTCTGTAGAAGAAACATTACATGTGTGACGCATTCTCTATGGGGTTGTGTTTGTCTCTGCGACGTGTCTGCCCTCATGAGAATGTGTGGGCCAGCCTATTTAGACATGTCGTGTTTGCAATCGCATCAAGAGACCCTGAGGAGCTCATTGTTTAGACATGGATGTCACACAGCCCTCCAGCCTCACATTAAGTTGTAGAATAATGTGGCTCTGCTCGCCACACAGGATCTATGCCGTAGGTCCCTTTTATGTGACGTCAATTTCTTGTAAACACAGAGCAAACATCCTATTGTAGCATCCTGAGGAATGATAGCACTCATAAAAGATTGTTTAACTATTCACAGTGATCACAAGGGTGAGGTTACTTGATAACCTTGAACTTTTGCGATGGAATCTTTGCTGTTTTTTTAATCTTCTATCTACAGGACATGTGCATTTACAATGGAATGGCTTTGGTTTCGGAGGGCAGACGTACTAGAAGAGCTGCATGTGGTTGGGATTCAGGAAACAGTCAATAAAAATGAGTTTTTATTGCTCACTTTAATGGTCAGATTTAGTGGTGCACTCTACAAATTAATAACAAGGATATGTGCTTTAGCTTACATTAGGGATGGGTCATAGTTGTTGACTGACTTTTCGATTATCATTCTGTCAGAACGCTAATTAAGGCTTTGCTGCTAAAAAGTGTTCTAATCTATTAGTGATGTTGACTTTTTTGGGGGTATTTTTTAATGGGACAATATTAGGGGTGTAACGATACACGTATTCATATTGAACCGTTCGATACGAGGCTTTCAGTTCGCTACTCATTATGAACCAAACGATTTGTTGGACCATTTTTGGAAAAGGTGGTGAAAGCGGAACGAAACTGCCCTATTCATTTGTGCTTTACGGAGTGCCGCTGCCAAATATTTAGCTTTTAATCGTTTTGCTTCTGAATTATTATTTCGACATTATAAATAAAATTGCTGCCCTCAAATGTTAATCTGGAGCCTTGCAAACTTAAAATAAAACCGAAATAAAATAAACAGTTGTTTATAACTACTACAATATTACATTTAATTTTTTATAAGGAGCTGTTTTTGTTTTATATGCTACTAAGGCCGTGTATCCACCAAAGCGTTTTTATCCAGCTGAAAGATGCCGTGCTTTGGGCGCTTGAGAGCGTTTTGGCAGCGCAGCAACCTTTTTTTTCCGTTGAGACGTTTCGTTGCTATGATACAGAATATCCGCAGCACAGTTTACTTGTAACTGATTTTGCAGATAATTTGTCTCATACTAAAAATTTATTTTTCATCCATTTTGTTCGGTTAGCTCTGTTGGTTAATGTCATAGTACAGAAAGAATGTTGTGACAGTTGGTCGGTGTGGTTTAGTCCCGCCCCTCCTCCATTGTGATTGGACGGCTAGGTAAAAAGTGAAAGTGATGAGCGCTGTGTTTTATCCAAAGTTGAACATTTCTCAACTCTCTGCGACCAGTAAAAAACGCCGGGCGCTTGGCGCTTCAGCGTGAAAAAAAAGCCTTGGTACGCTCCCATTGCGTAACGCCAGGCGCGTGGAAAAACGCTTTGGTGGACACACGGCCTAAGAAGAGGAAAGTATAGCTCAATCATTGTTTAAACTAAAAAAGATAATACTTTAAAGTTTATGATGTTAGTTTTAATAAATAAATTAAAATGTTAAAATGGGAAAATTCAAATTCTCTGGCATTTCTTTCTTTTTGCTGTATCGAAAATGTACCGAATTGTGTCACCACTGTATCGAATCGAACCGAACCTTGAATTCTGTGAACCATTACACCCCTAGACACTATAGAGATAGACAGGAAACAATTAGAAAGGAGAGAAACGATCAGGACCAGGAAAGGACCACAAGTCAGGACTCAGAATTCGGGTAGCTTGAGGTACAGCTGCACGTCAGAGTGCTGACCACAAGCTTGTGGCACCGACAATGTTTTTAAGATCTTTGTACTCTATTATTCCATGTTTTGCTCTGTCTAGTTGCTTTAGAGCGCAAGGACATGTCGTTTGTGAACGCCCCTGGGTCTGATTTGGGACGGGTGAACTTGAAACCAGGGTAATAATACAGGGGGTTTCCTTACAATAGATTTATCAATGGTGCCTTGACACAGAGGGATACGGGATCACCTCAGTCCACGGTCATGTCCCTGTCCTGTTCTTCTCCGCTCTCTACCTGTACTTTCCTATCCCTTCTTCATTGTCCTGTGAAATAGTCATTAAACAAAATAAATATGTATGTCTATAGTCTATGTTTCAGTTAGCATGTATTGACGCTTTTAGATGACTTCAATTCATGTTTTTTAGTATATATTACTGAAATTGGCTCGGCTCAAACCAGTGTGTTCTTCACTTTACAGTAGGGTCTCATTTATTTTCCTTGTAGGAAAGCCCTTTGGCTCACACTGTGTTCTTAGTCTGTTGAAATATTCTGCGGTTGTGTAAGTTTTTATTTTTTCGGTTGTTTCCAGGCTCTGAGGGATCACAGGGAATCTTGCTCTGTTATCACAAGGACATTTTCTAAAGGGTTATCACTAAAAAAAATGCAAAGACAGATACTTCAAATGATCTCATTCCTTTTTTTCCAAAACAGGTTTATCTCACATTTCACGGTTCTGCTTAGCCTCTCACCACTCACAGTAACACGGTATGGGGTGAAATTAATGAGCAATAAACATATTCATTTTACTCTACAAACACTTGCAGCATGGTTTCAGTGTTGTAAGCTGCACTGGGCCTTCGGAAAAAATGAAGGGTGATAAAAACCACAAACTTGTTATCAGTGCTTTTAGTCAAACAAGCGACCCAGAAAAGTTTCCAGTGGGCTTGCCTTTTAAGCGCTAATAGCTGTGTGTTGTGGTTTAGTGCTGCTAATTACGTCCCATGTGCTCAGCAGAGGGGATCCCTCAAGCACGGCTCCTTAGGTTTCTTTAACAGACCTGTTGCACTTCCTACTTGCAGCCAGGTTAAAGCTGTCTCACCAGGATGTGCTTTGGGCAATGCATCTGGAGTGGTTGTTTAAGTGTGTAAAAATGCACCATTTGCTATGCTTTGCCCCACTATTAAGAATAATTATGGTTTTTTTCAACGCACAACTAAACTGTTGTGCGTTGCGGCAAATTCTATTAATTAACAAAGATGAAATGCACACTGTTTCATTGCAAGTCAGAGATGTGGTTCACTTTTCTGCATGCTCAGTATCTCCCCTGATATGGTGTCTCCTTTTCCTGTGTCAATCAGATGAGGGAAGAACCCTTGTGCATGTGTGTGTTTGTCTGTCTGTCTGTGCACAGAGGATTGTGGTTACTTGCTCTAGCAAACCCAACAGCAAGTGTGGCCTAACCAAGCCTGCTGTGAGCAAAGCTGTGAGCATTGCAAGACTTTGTCACTTTTTGTTTATTTACCAAAGCGTGGAGCTGCATAATATTGCATGATTCAGGTTAGTTTACTTCAGTGCACACAGTGGTTTTCATTTGGTGTGACTTATAGGGTCAAAAGATGAAAAGACAATGTTAAATGCAAATAATAAAATGCATATAACCATGTATAGAAAAAGGAAATACAACAACCTATCCCCACACACAATATAATATATAAAATAATTATTATTTAATGTCTGAACAAATATGGTACCACTTGATGTCCAGTGTCCACTCCAGTGTAAAATCTGGGTCTTAAACTAAAACATTTTGAAAACTTGATTACTGATTACTTACTGAGTATCTATTTGCACTACACATTTCTGGAATGTAAAGCTTGTTGGCCTTGATGATGACTGTATTAGGTCAATATTGGAATGATATTACGTTACAGTAAAAAATGATTGGCAGTTGAATAAGCTCTGGTATATTAATGGCTGTGAAAATGAGTATAAGATATTTGAACAAGATATGATGAAA